TTAAATAAAAATGAGACACTGTTTTGCTTTGAGCTGCATCATCATCATCAAATGCCAGATCTGTGGCAGACATCGGCGATCATGGTTCTGCTTTCACTCCTTTGCTGGATGCTCTAAAAACACTACGTTACCCTGATCTTTCCCCGTTACCCATCAGTTTAGGTTCTCTAAGTAGGTAACTCTGGGCCTACCTCTGCCTTGTTTGCCTTCAATTTTGCCAGTGAGACCTAGATGATTAAGACCTTCATGTCTATTCAGGTGTCCCAAAAACTGCATTTGTCTTTTCCTAATTGTTTCTAACAGTGAGCGTCCCACGTGGGCTTCATCAAGCACCGCATCTGATTATAGTGCCATAATTCAGAGCTAATCTGATTTTTAACCACCTGAAGACACGTGTTCTGGCCTCATATAGCACTACACGTCTTAGGAACACTTGTCATTCTTTCACAAGAACCTCTTGATACTTTGAGAGTGAAGCACACGTCTTTCCTTTTCTTCTTTGCAAATCTTGATACAGCCTGTGCATTGCGCTTAGGCTCGATCCATCTTCTAGGTATATCCTGCCACTGGATCCACAGCAGTAATGGGACGGAACTGTCGGAAACTGTTGATATGGGCCTTTATACCCTGAACTGTTTCCTCGCCCACAGTGACACTCTCTGATCAGCAAAAACGACACCAACATCAATAATTTTCTCAAAAGCACGTAGACAACATCCTGTTTAATACGTTATGTGCCCAGGAAAAATGTGAGACACACGGCTTGTCGTCAACTACCAGATCTGCAAAGACGGTAGTACAGAGAAGCTTTCCGCCTTGATTGTGCTTTCAGTGTTCCCACACAAGTGGGAATGACCTTTTGACATATGAGACAATGAATTGTCTTGATGTTTATGCCTCCCACTCTTCCAATAGTCGGAGAATATATTTTATTTCTTTTGTGCATCATTTTCTGGTGGCATGTGGGACAAGTTTTGTTACGACCTTGGCCCATGACTTTTGAAGCCAGTTCCTTCCCTTTGAACCCAGTGTATGCCAGCCCACTGTTGTTGAATGTTTTTGTTTCCTCTGGTCCGGCTCACGTGATCGTTTTCTTGACACGTTCTTGGTGACATTGTCTGTATACTCTGAGAACACCTCGGAGAGGATGAATGATGGTCGTGAGGTCACTGGAATGGTTTAGTTGGGTGGGAAAGAGTCCCCCACGTGTCGGTGTGATATCATCAATTTAAAAGAGGCTTGATTCCTCTGTTCGGTCTGTGCTGTGTTGAATCTCAACTTGGATTGTTGATGTAGCTGTCGCTGAAGACGAAGACGAGGAAGTGCGCTGATCTGGGGCCTTGAAACGTGATGTACTTGTTGCTTTTAATAGTGCGGCAAGGGGTAGATAGTCGTCTACATCACTGTCAGAATCGCTGGCAGGAAGCAATGCTGTGCGGTTGACTGACGTTTAACATTAAAGTCCAAGTGTTATTACATCAGCGTTAGATCATTCGGTGTCCGTGCCATACACATCGCCATTCCCTATTACTTGTGTCGACCTGTGACCCCTGTATATCCATGACATAACTATACAACTCAACGCAGCGAGACCCAAAGAAGGGTGGCGTTGTTCTGGAAGACTCCTGTATCTGGCGCATACAGGACTCTTGGACCACGTAAATAGTGTAGCAAATTCCTGTATGGTACCTTACAGGAATTTAAGCGAACAATATGTAGCAAAAAAATGCGAGCAGGAATTTTCAAACTTTGTTTCTACTTAACGCACAGGTTTCATCGTTTGACACAATAAAAGGTGTGTCTTGTACCCCGTATTCGATTTCTGCAAAAAAACGATTTTTGGAAATTTGGTCTATACAGGAGTTTTTGACTCAGGCGACGATTTGAAGACTGTAACGAGCCCCGACAATGTACCAGGAAGCTCTGGACGACATGATATCATATAATTATGATATTATGGTTCGTACATGTCACAATCTCGACAAAAAAATAAAAAGAGAGAGAGAGAGAGAGAGAGAGAGAGAGAGAGAGAGAGAGAGCGTGAGAGAGAGAGAGAGAGAGAGAGAGAGAGAGAGAGAGAGAGAGAGAGAGAGAGAGAGAGAGAGAGAGAGAGAGAGAAAATAAGAAAAAAAAGCGAAAAATAAAAGAAAGACACAATTCTTTGAAATAGGGTCTCTCTGTGTGTTCAGTAAATCCGTTTCTTTCACTACTTTCCGCCTACTTATAGCGATAATCTCAACGCGAAAAATCAACGTATTCAAAATAGCTACAAAAAGATTCGCCAAACCCGTTTGATGTAGGTGGGATATTTCTATCTGGAGTATTATGCGAATTTCACGCAGTCCCTAAAGCACTTCAGGAAAAGAATGAGTTTCTGTTATGATTATGGCTGTTACTATATAATAATGAATGTCTGAAAAAAATAGCTGGGGCAAGCATAAAGCTTTTGCAAACACTCAAGTGTTCCACCAGAAACCGGATTTGGTGTATGTTGTAAAGAAACGGGATCTACCTCTTTTGGGGAGAGGGCGGCGGGGGACGGGGGGAGGGGGTACGGAGGTAGGGGGTAGGGGGTAGGGGGTAGGGCGGGGTTGCGAGGTGTGTGTGTGGGGTTTGAAAGGGGGGAGGGGTGGGGATGGAAGGGACAAATCTTTTGTCAAAATGTAGAACATGTAATATTAAACAACAACAACAACAACAACAACAACAAAACTAACTTGTAATATCACTTTTTTGGGGGGTCCCGTGTCTGTAATATCACTTACATCACGTGTGCGTTTTTCGGGAGTGGTCGTATTTTCATAATTATACGTTCGATGATACAGCATGGAGTGCAGGAGAACTTGCCTAAGTCGGTACAAAACTTCCGGGACTGAGTCACTGAGTTTGCTAGAGTACATGGGAGTTCTTTCCCTTGGTGTTCTGTTCCTGGGTACATGCATACCCACACTCACGCGTGGGTGCACACACACATGCACACAGATATACACACGCAGGCGCGTGCACACGCACATACACGCACACACACACAGACACAAATATACACACACATACACATACACACACACACACACACACACACACACACACATACCCACACATACCCACACGCACACCAAACACACACACACACACACACACAAACACACACACACACAAACACACTCTCTCTCTCTCACACACACACAGAGACACACA